GCCCAGGAGTTGGAGGTTGCTGTGAGCGTGATGCCATGGCACTCTACCCAGGGGGATAGCTTGAGGCTCCGTCTCAAAAAAAAAAAAAAAGAATAATTACCTATCTGTCCTGATATGGAAAGATCTACAAGATAAGTTAAGGGTGCTCAGTTTGGCAGCACATATACTAAAATCTGAACAATACAGGGAAGATTAGAGCATGGCCCCTGCTCAAGGAAGACACACAAATTTGTGAACCACTTGATATTTTTTAAATAAATAACAATAACAAAACATACATTAAAGAAATGATAATCATAATACACTAGTGATATGGTTTCAATGTTGGCCCCTCCAAATCTTATGTTGAAATTTGATCGCCAGTGTTGGAGGTGGGGCTGGGAGATGTTTGGGTCATGGGGCCTGCTCTTTCACAAATGGCTTGGTGCCATTTTCGTTTTATTAGTTCTCATTTATAATAACTCACTTTATTAGTTCTCATTTTATTAGTCCACACAAGAGCTGATTGTTTAAAGAAGGCTGGCAGCACCTCCTCTCTCTCTTTGCCCCTTCTCCCTTCCCTCTGGATTGGAAGCTCCCTGAAGCCCTCACCCAAAGTAGCAGATGCTGGCACGATGCTTCTCGTACAGCCTGCAGAACTATGAGCCAAATAACTACTTGCCTTTATAAATTACCAGCTTCAGGTACTTCCTTTATAGCAGGACTACACATGGGTATTTATATTTTTAAAGAAAGGGTAAACACATATGTTTATGTGTAGACTATCTTTAGGAAAAAAAAAGAAACTGGTAACAGTGATGCCTCCAGATAGGGGGATGGGGTGGGTGTCTGGGGAACAGGAATGTGAGGAGACATTTGTACAGATGTATATATTACCTAATTTTCAATGTTTTCATTTACTAACCTATAAGAAGTCCCAGAATATGCTTTCACTTCCTCTAAATCCAAGCTCAACAAGAAAGCACCCACAAGTTTTATATATATACATATATATATATATATATCAAATGAGCCTTCCTTGACCCATCCAGTGTGAGCAGAAACACAGGTGACCAAAAAGTCACAGACAATTCTGCCTTAACTTGAAAATGTATTTCTGTACACATATTGGGTTAGAGGCACACCTGATGGTCCAAAGTAATAAAGTATTCCATAAATACCTGGTTTGGAATGAAGTAAAACCAGCCTAATTCTCCCACTCTCATCACTGCTCAGCTGATCTGGTGCCAGCCACACCAGCAATGTGTCTGGTAAAAATCAAAAGAACTAGAATGTTGCCAGTTTCTAACTAGCAAACAAGGCACTGACTTTGGAATTTGGCATTGTCTAGAGTCTAGGTACACAGTTCTCAAATCTTTGTGTGACAATCTCCTGGGACTTTTGTTAAAAATGAAGCTTCCTAGCCCCATCCTCAGCTTCTGATTCAACAGGTGAGGCCTGGGAATCTGCACTTCCACGAGCACCCAGAGGAGATTCCACTGCAGATGGTCCAATGACCATCCATCTACATCAATAATTTTCAACCTGTGTGCCTTGAGGCACATTTGGTGTGTCATGAAAATTTGTAAAGATTATTAATTAAATTATTTTTGAAAGAAGTTTAAAGCACAGTAAGTATATTTCTTTTTTTACTTCTTTTTTGATCAATATACTTTAAGTGTCCCACAGAAGTTTAACTGTAGGTTCAAGTGTGCTGTGAGATTAAAAAGGTTGAAAAACACTGGTCTAGATGCTTTCTTTCTTCTTGGTTGCTTGGACTTCGTGTTTTCTTGTGTTTTGGGTGGGGGAAGGAGAAAGGTTTAAGTTGGCATGTATTCTATAAATGGTCGGTCTACTGCATAAATGGATGAAAGAATGGACAGATGGACAGGTGGACAGGTGGATAACTGAGGAAAACTTTAAAAACAAGGAGATACAGACAAATAGAGAAATAGGCTAGGCATTCCAGGAACGGAAATAACATAAGCAAAAGAAAGAAGATGTAAATAAGCAAACTATGCAAACTACTGGGAAGGGGGACTACAAAAAGCCCACCCAAAGTTCAGGTTTGGTTTAGAAACGAGTTTCAGAAGGTGAAGTGAAGGCTTTACTGTGAAAGGCAAAGCTACAGAGTCTTGACTTACGGGGCAGCGTAAGCTGTACGTGTTTTAAGAAAATTGGGCAGCAGGAACATAGAAGACTAATTTGAGCCTGAAGAAAGTGAAGGTATTAAAATTCCAGCTTCATGCCCCAAAGGCCCACAGGGTCTAAGAAGCACTGTGCATGGAAAGAGTCAGATGTGTGACTTCTGAGAGAGTTGACAAAATAACCAGTTTGGAGACTGGGAATATGACAGTACCATCCACAGACACAGTGAAATCAAGGAGGGTTGATGAGGAGGATGGGAATGAGCTTCAGAGAGCTGGAGCTGGCAGGATTAAGGGACAACTTTGCCCAGCAGTATCCCCTGCTGAGAGAAGGTTGCCGTGTAATGGTATTGGGTAAAAGAGGTGATCTTTAAAGACTTCTTGTTGCATATGAATGTTTTGACATAATAACTAAGAAAGTTACATGAAGGCTATGTTAACCAGTTTGATGGAAGTGTCTTGGATTGTGTGTGAAAACACCACACTGTACCCCAGAAGTGCATTAATGTACACAGTTACCATTCAATAAAAAAAAAAAAAAAAAAAAAGACTTGTTGTTGCTTTAGGTCCAATTTCTGTTTTTAAAGCTACGTTTACTTTTAGTTTGAATGGGGAGAGGAGAGGTGAAGGGGTAAGTAACTTTATCCTTTTCATCATCTACATTTATCTTTAACACCCTACCTCAACATGCTTAAACTCCACTTTCCTTTTTTTTGAGACAGGGTCTCACTAGGTCATCCTCAGTAGAGTGCTGTAGCGTCACAGCTCACAGCAACCTCAAACTTTTGGGCTTAAACCATTCTCCTGCCTCAGCTTCCCAAGACGCTGGGACTACAGGCACCCACCACAATGCCTGGCTATTTTTTGTTGCAGTTGTCATTGCTGTTTAGCTGTCCTGGGCTGGTTTCGAACCCGCCAGCCTCGGTGTATATGGCTGGTACCGTAACCACTGTGCTACGGGCGCTGAGCTTCTGCTTTGCTTTTTATGAATAACTTACACTCTTCTTCTTACCATTTTTATTTCAACGATGTTTCTCAACTTCCTGTTTTCCTTTTCTTTTTCTTTTACATTAGCCATTGCACTTATTTTATCTTACAAGTATAGCCAGAGGACAAGGAACAGTGAAAACAGGCCAAAATTTAAATATTCAGGTAAACAGTAATTTCCCTTGAACTTGAGTGTCTCCTACATGTCAGATATATTACTAAATACTCTGCATGGATTCCTTCATCCCATCCTTGTAACAATCCTGTGAGGCAGGTGCTACTACACAGTATTAGGGCCATATTATATACAGTTAAGGGCTCAGAAGCTCAGAATGGTGAGGCAAAGTCCACAGCACACAAATGGTGAGACTTAGGTTTGAACTTTGAAGTCTAGTTGAATCAAGACACTTAATCATGGCTCAAACTGTGTCTCTTGATGGTAAGAAAGCAACAGTGAACCTATCACCTCATCTCCTGAGAGTCAAACTTGTCAACAGTCACACATGAGTGAGCTTAGTAACCGGAAGAAATCCACAGACCGTCAAGTGACTACAAGGTTTGAAGCCACATGAAACTCCAATCAGGCAACTTGGCTAAATTAAGAAGGCTGCTGCCTCATATCCACTTGGAGAAAAGAACATATTAATAGAAAAGGAACTATCAGCACAGTCTAGAAAAGGCAGTCCCTGAGTGTAAGAACTTGGCACCTTTCACCCAGCACTGCTCAGGACAAAGACAGAAACAGCTGCAGGTGCTGGTGACCACACCTGCTCGGGTCACTCCAGATGCAGCTTGCGCAGCAGGGAGTTATTTATCACCCCTCACAAGCGGCCGTATGACATGAATATCCTTCACATTTATCTAATCTGCTTGTGGCTCTGCACCTCCTGATTACAATTTGGCTTCCCATGTGGACTAGCCAATGAGGAGGAAGTGTGCCCATCTGCACTGTCATCTATACTAGAGAACCGCGATTCACCATAATCACACATATCCTGAATGAATTCTAGTTGATACTCTGGTCTCTGGTAGCTGAGCATATGTACATTTCATGAGCTCTAATAAAACTGAGTATTTGGATGTGCACGCTTCCATGCAGTAACCATACCAACATCCTACCTCTGTCTCAGCAAAAGTTAACTAGCTGGCCACTTCAACTGAAACCTCAGATTCCCAATTGATACTGTGTAAAGGAATATCTTTCAAAAGAAAGCAAAAATTAATTATATGCTGGTAATTTGTTGCAGCTGGGTACATAGACATTCACTGTTGTACTTTCTCTACTTTTCCATATGTTTGAAATTATCCATAATTAAAAGCATAAAGGGAAAAAAAGAATGTTATTCCAATTCTTTCAATTTTCCAATATATGAATTTTAACTGAAAAAATCTAAAGAATTCCAAGATTTTAAAACGTTAAAACACACATATTTAGAAACACGGTCCCTTAGAATAGGGGCATTTGTAGGTTAACTGTGTTCTAACGAACCATTAAGAGCAAGAGGACATTATAGCCCTCCTCAGTGATGAGCGTAGAGCTACTGCAGACACACAGTTCATGACCACAGACTCAACATGCTTATTCGAGGTACCTTGAACACTGGCAGCTTCTGCCTCTGTTGCTCTATTGAAAGGGCAGCGTAAGGGTTATAAACAACGGTGGTCCCAGAGTTTTCAGCAAGACTTTGTCTCTCTTCAGAGATGCTGACGCCTGGCCCCTCTGTACCTGCAGCAGAAATGTTTTTTCAGATTCTCTGATGCAGTGAACAGAAAAAGGTATAAAGGTTATAAATTTTCAAAGACAAAGAAAGATATACAACAGAAGCAATCCTTTTTATCTCAAACTACTAAAAGGTATTCAACTTTAACTTGAGGAAAGCATCTAGAAAAGTAATTATCAGAACACGAAAATCTTCCTAAAAGCTTCACTGCAGCATCAAGAACAAGGGAGATGACAGTCCCACTCATTCCAAATTGGTCACCCAGAACTGCACATTACAGAGATAGTGCCTTTACTTCTGGCTTCCATGATACTGAATTCTTAACAGAAGTGAAAGAAACGCAGTGGGAATTAGCTGAGGCAAAAGGATGAATCCTGCTCCTGCAGATGGCAACACAGCTCAGAGAACAGAGCAGGGGACTCCAAGCAGCCAGGGTTTTCTTTCTCCTCTCTTGGTACCTCTGGCAGGTTCCTTTCACTTGGCTTAGGTTGGTTTCTCTACAGGAGATGGAAATGGAGCTGCTGGCAGGGCCAGACCTCAAGCTTACACCTCCTCTCCCAATCATTCATTCACTCACCTGGTGAGGAGGGACGGAGGACCCACTCCATGCTAGGTACTGCTCTACATGCTACAAATACAGCAGTGAGCAGTGCAGATACTGGCCCGAACCTCTCCGGAGAATGTAACTTAGCGCAGGGATAAATGGTACAGAAAGAAACAAAGATACTGCAAGGGGGCCTGGGAGTCCCAGGTGTGTGCTGGGTATGGGGGTGGGGAGGCGATTTTATACTGGACAGTCAGGGACGGGCTTCTTGTCCTGCTTAAGTCCAGTGTCCACTCTGATCCAGCCAACCACGGCTGGTGGAGTGGGAAGCAGGGAGTGGCAGGCCCTCTGGAACCACAGAGTCAGAGTGGTTAGATGCTATTCCCAGAAACCTCTGTGCTGAGCAGTTTAAATACAAATATCCACCAGAGCTTTTTGCTAAGAACTATGACAAACTGTTGCTCAGGATGGTGAGGAATAGGCAAGCCTTATCTCATCATGAAAACCTGCTGAATGTAACACAGATTTTTAACTAAAAAGGAAAAATTCTCAGGAGAAACATGAGTTCATATTTTAGGATCAGCTTCTGTAACTTTTCATGCTGACTTGTCTGTGCAGCCCTAGGAAAGAACTAGAAGTAAAAGTAAACGATACAGGGTTCAGAATCAACTCAAGGAAGATACTTCTAAAAGGGAGAGCTGTTCAACATGGGAGTGTGCAGCCTTGTCAATGAATAAAAATTCTCCCCAGATGTTCAAAACTGTGCAGCACAGCCTCCTGCTGGGGGCACTACAGAGATAATCACCAAAAATTATCACCTCCCGGGTCAGCTCAGAATCTCTGGAAGGACAGGGCTTTATGACAAGAATATTCAGCCCTCTGATTTATTCTTACCTTTTTTGGAGGGATTTCAGATCCCTTCAACAATCTGATAAAGGCTATGAACTCCCTCAACTCAAAAATGTATCAGAATATACTTTACCAAAATAAAAAATGCTGAGGGTCCACACACTCCCTAGAGCTAAGATAAGAACCACTGCTTTAGATCTCTGACCCTCTTCCATTTATTTCCAGGAACACCGTTGTATTCCAGAGGTTCAAGATTGCCAAAAATCGGAGGGAGAAGGGACGGGGGAATGGGTGGAGGGAGGGAGTTAGGAGGGATTACTTCTGAGGTTTACCTTATAGGGGTACAGGTGAATCTTTCTAAGAGTAGAATGTGAATGTTTCAAAGCAATAACTGAGAAAATGACATGAAGGCTGTGTTGACCAGTTGATGGAAGTATTTCAGATTGCATGTGAAAACCCCACACTGTACCCTAGAAGTGCATTAATGTACATAGTTACCGTTCAATAAAAAAAAAAAAAAAAAAAAAAATTTCCCAAAAATCAGTAAGTGGGGCACTGCTCTGTTGCTTTTGCCAAAATGTTGATCTTCCTTTCAACAAGATAAAAGATAGAACAGGACCTGGAACAAAGCCTGCACTCAAAGAAACCTTTCCTTTCTTCCTTTATTATCACTACGTCTTTTCTGTTCTTTTTTGAGACACCCTGATAGAGTGCTGTGGCATCACAGTTCACAGCAACCTCAAACTCTTGGGCTCAAGCAATCCTCTTGCCTCAGCCTCCCAAGTAGCTGGAATTACAGGCACCCACCACAATGCCTGCCTATTTCTTTTTTTTTTTTTAGAGATGGAGTCTCACTCTTGCACAGGCTGGTCTCCAATTCCTGAGCTCAGGCAATCCACCCACCTTGGCATCCCAAAGTGTTGAGATTACAGGTGTGAGCCACCACGCCCAGCCTATTATTCTTACAACATCTTAATAAGTCCTTGTAATCTTTACTCAAGAAAACTACTACAATACTTATTCCCTTCTGCTGCGTTTTTGTCCTGAATGTGGTCTGTTCAAACCACATTTTAAGCCTTCACATTCTCTTTGGAAAGGAACATTTTAACACTGCTCCTGCAAGGTCTCTTGCAACTTGGTCTCTTGTCCTCCACCAAGGTTTAATCAATCCATGGCAGGGGCCCTTCTCTTCTACCCACTCTCTCCCTTGTCTCCAACCTGCAGTCCAGCCCATCTCATTGTATTGTTATGAGTACTTTTTACAAGATTTGTCAGTTGATAAACAGCATAACTTCTCCTTACAAAACACTTCATTCAGCCAAACCAAAACATCAGGGCTACTTTCCCACCATAAACGTCCCACTGCCCATTATGCTTGTTTTATCCTTGAGAGTAGGCTCTATGTTTAAGGGAGTAACAAGTTGATAATTTTTGCAAACCATAACATCTTCATTTCTCCACCTTTAAAATAAGACTGATTAACAGTACCCTCAATCTCACATTCCCTTTAGCCCAGTTTCTCAAAATTTGAGTGGTGACACATTAGTTAGTTATGAAATCAATACAGTAAGTCATTCCAGCATTTCTAAAAGCATGAAGTAGATAGCCTGGGCAAGAGCAAGAACCCCATCACTACTAAAAATAGAAAAAACTATCCAGGTGTTCACAGCAGGCACCAGTAGTCTCAGCTACTTGGGAGGCTAAGGCAGGAGGATTGCTACAGCACTCTACCCAGGGTGACAGACTGAGACTCTGTCTCAAAAAAAAAAAAAAAAAAAAGTCAGCACAGTGGCTCCCGCTCTATAATTCCAGCACTCTGGGAGGCCGAAGTAGGTGGACTGCTTGAGCTCAAGAGTTCGAGTACAGCCTGAGCAAGAGCAAGACCTCAGCTGTAAAAAATTGCTGGGCATTGTGGCAGGCACCTGTAGTCCCAGGTACTCCGGAGGCTGAGGCAAGTAAATCGCTTCCAGCCAAGGAGTTTGAGGTTGCTGTGAGCTATGACGCCACTGCACTCTACCAAGTGGCGACAAGGGAAAACTCTGTCTCAAAAAAAAAAAGGATGAAGCAGAAATAAAATAGAAAGTATCAAAGAACATTCCAGAAAGCAACATTGTTTTCGTATAACTTTTTTCAGTTGTATATGTGTGTTAGATCACAACACAATGTATTTCTTACTCTGAGTCAGGCCAAAAAGGCTTCAAAGCTGTTGTTATAAAGTTATCATCAAGCACATGGTCAGCAATCACAAAATATTTATCAAAAATGAACAAATGAAAATGGATTGGTCCTTCTGATCCATGTGTACTCACAAATCTGGGTAAAATTTGTTTTCTAGGAAAATCTCAGGTGGGTCATAGAAGGCCATTAAGTCAAACCGGTAAGGTAGAGATTACAAACTACTGGCTTAAGGTCCCCAGATATGCTACTATTAAAATGTTTTAAATAGTTCATTTAAAATAACACATAAACATTTCCCATTCAAATCTGGACATCAGTCTTCTGAAAAAAAAAAAAAAAAAAAAAAACTGGGCAACTCTGGTAACAATATGGTGGACCTCAGAACAGCTCCCTACTTTAGAAAGGACATGCAAGCTCCACTGTACACCCACACTGTCTAAAGCTACCCAGTGTACACGCTGCAGTCTGCCATAGTACCTATCACTCCCTGTTACTTCCACCCAGCACCTTCACTCATTTAGTCTGAAAGGCCTCTGTATTTACTGCAGCCTATGACTCCGGACTTAACATGATTCCAACATACAGCCTTATATGTAGCTTCTATCACCTCCCTGACCTTCACCCTGCATTTCGCACAACCTATTTCATATCATGAACTTGAGTTTACTCATCTATAAAATAAGAGTATTATCACCATCACAGACATACTGTGACTGTTTATTAAGATGCTGTAAGTGAAAGTTACTAGTACAAATCAAGGGCCCAATAAATGTGCACTAAAGCTATTCCCACCTCAATTGATGACAACACAGTTTACCCAAACTAGTGGTTCCCATACTTTGATGCGTGCCGGAATCTCCCAGAGACTTTAAAAAAATACCAATGCCTGGTGCAGGGCATGTAGCTCAAGGAATAGGGGGCCAGCCACATATACCAAGGGTGGAGTGTTCAAACTCTGCCCTGGCCAAAAAAAAAAAAAAAAAAAACACTGAAAAGCCACCCAATAAACACTCAATGCCTGCTTAGAAAAAGATAAATAAAATAAAAATACTGATGTCTAGCTCCTAGCCCTTCAAGTTCTAATTTCCCAGTATGGGGTACAACAGGACATCAGAATTTTTTAAAGCTTCCCAAATGACTGAACTGTAGAGCAAAATCTGAAAATCACTAACCTTAACTGTAACCCAAGCCAGAAATCTAAGTCATTCCTGACTTTACCTTCTTCGACTTTTACCTCTAATATGTCTCACCAAAAATAGTAAGATAAAATGTCTCTCCAAAGGCCCTGCTTCTTGGCTCCCAGGCCAGAATTGAGGTTTTCAATATTCCTCCTGGATTTTACTAGTAACCTCTCTAAGTGTCCCTGCCTCTGATTTCCTCCACCATCATTATCCAGACAACTGCCAGAATTAGCTTTCTAAAATAAACTTACTATGTCATTCCTCTGCTTAAAACGGTGAAGTTCAAATTTCCTTTTTTTTTTAAGACAGAGTCTTACTTTGTCGTCCTTGGTAGAGTGCCGTGGCATCACAGCTCACAAAAGCCTTGAATTCTTGGGCTTATGAGATTCTCTTGCCTCAGCCTCCCAAGAAGCAGGGACTACAGGGACCTGCCACAATGCCTGGCTATTTTCAGAGACAAGGTCTCCCTCTGGCTCAGACTGGTCTCAAACCTGTGAACTCAGGCAATCCACCCACCTCAGCCTCCCAGAGTGCTCGGATAACTGGAGTGAGCCACCACAACCGGCCTGAAGCTCTAATTTCTTAACTTGTTGTGGAGACCTTTACCTACCTCTGTGGCTTTTTCTCCTGCCACTCCTCCTACCACTTACCATGATATTACTCAATTATTCTGGGTTTTTGGACATTCCTCAGGGACAAATCCCACTTTACCTAGAATTCCATTCCTCTATTTCTCCATGAAATAACACTTTATTTAAAAATGTTCACTCCAAAAATATCACCACCTTTATGAAGTCTATCTTACCCACACATTGAACTTTTCTCTTCCTCTTCTATACTGCCATTTGATCATAATGGCTACATACCTGTGCTAAGAGCCTTTTATGTATTAGTCTCATTTAATCCTTAGAATAACCCTTTTGGGCTCAGCACCTATAGCTCAACCGGCTAAGGCACCAGCCACGTACACCTAAGGTGGCGGGTTTGAATCCCCAGCCCGGACCGCCAAACAACAATGAC